TTCCACTCACTTGGTCCCCACCGTGTCAGCCTTCCCACAGTTCCTTAAGCCTACCAGGCACTATCCTGCCCCCAGGGCCTTTGCACTGACTCACTCCATCACCCAGAACATTGTCCACAGATCCTCAGAGCTTGTTCCCTCACTTCCCTCCATGTTTGCACAGAGGTCACTTTGCTACTGAGGCCTTGATTGTATAAAACAGAAGTAGGGTCTCAGGGTGTAGCTCAGGAGTGGAGGGAGCACTTGCTTTGCATGAGTGAAGCAAGTGCAAGGCCCAAACATGGATTTCCAGCAGCACAAAAATATAAAATAGAAACCCCCTCTCCTCAACACTTCCTGTCCCTCACCTTTGAGGGGATTGCTGAGTGTAAGGCTGGACATTGACTCAAAGGAACTCATATACAAAGAAGCCCATTTGGAGGATCCTTCATTGTTTGTAAACAAATATTTACCTCCTCTTGTATACCTCAGATATCTCAGGGTGACTTATAATACCTAATACAACGTAAATGCTACAAAAATAATTGTTACTGTTATGCTGCATTGTTTAGGGGATGATATATATGTTCTATATAGATGTATATTTCACCAAATATTTTCAATATATGGTTGGTTGCATGTGGAGATGTGGAGCCTGCAGGTCTGGGGGACGACCATATATAGCAAACCAACCCAACTTGCTTCCCAGATCCTGGCAGACATCATTAGTGGATCACAGTACTCTTTCTCCCTGAACTGTGGCCTGGGAACATCTTCCCACAAATGGTCTGGGCAGCCACCACTAATCAATCGCCCGTTGGTACAGAGGACCCAGGCCACTTCCCTCCCTGACCCAACACCTTCTGTACCCCACAACATTCATCAGGAGGCTTTACTCCTCCTACCTGGAAACTTTTCTTCTGCTGCTGAAAAGAAACTGCTGATGCCAGATATTTGTAGAAAGTGCATAAACAGCACTTGAATAATGTCTTTGATGTGGCTCGGAAAGTTTTGATATTACAAGGAGAAAAAATAAATATGTGAAATAACTCCACTTGGGGAGCAATGGCTTATATTAAGAACATTTTTAAGCCCACTCTTTCCTCTGAACAGATGGTCTAAACATAAAGGTCTAACACGTCCAGGTTTCCAGGAGTCTTTCTCCTTCCCTGGCCGTGAGTCTGTCTCCCCCCCTGCCCCCCCGTCTCTCCTCCCCTTTGTCCCTCTTTCCCTGCCTCACTTTGTGCCGTACTTTGTCTTCTCCAGTGCCTGTGTGCATGCGTGTCACTGTGTCTCTCCCAGTTCTTTTATTTTTTATTTTGAAACAGAAGCTTGCTGAATTACTAAACTATCCGAGGTGAGCTCACACTTGCCTCAGTCTCCCAGAGTGCTGGAATCATACAGGGGTGCATCCGCACACCCCGTCTCGCTTCTTTTTCTTTTCCTTCCTTTCTTCCTCTCCCCTCCCCTCCTCCTCCTTTTTCTTCTCCCTCCTCCTGTGGTACTGAGGATTAAGGCAGTAGTGTTCTACCACTGTGCTACGTCCCCCATTCTTTTTATTTTTATTTTGAAGTAGAATCTTTGCTACATTTCCCAGACTGGTCTAGAAATTGTGGTCCTCCTGCCTCAGCCTGTGGAGTAGCCAGAATTACAGGCACAAGTCACTGTCTCTGTGTGAATTTCCTTTTTCTGTCTCTCTCCATGTCAACTTTTCTTTGTCTCTCTTAAATCTGTCTGTCTCTCTGTCTGTCTGTCTCTCTGTCTCTGTCTCTCTCTGTCTGTCTCTGTCTCTCTCTGTCTGTCTGTGTCTCTCTCTGTCTGTCTGTCTGTCTCTGTCTGTCTTCTGTCTCTCTGTCTGTCTCGCTGTCTCTGTCTGTCTCTGTCTGTGTCTCTCTCTGTCTGTCTTCTGTCTCTCTCTCTGTCTGTCTCTCTGTCTGTCTGTCTGTCTGTGTCTCTCTCTGTCTGTCTCTCTCTGTCTGTCTTCTGTTTGTCTGTCTGTCTCTGTCTGTCTTCTGTCTCTCTCTCTGTCTGTCTCTCTGTCTGTCTGTCTGTCTCTCTCTGTCTGTCTCTCTCTCTGTCTGTCTCTCTGTCTGTCTCTCTGTCTGTCTGTCTCTCTCTCTCTCTCTGTCTGTCTGTCTCTCTGTCTGTCTTCTGTCTCTCTCTCTGTCTGTCTCTCTGTCTCTCTCTGTCTGTCTTCTGTCCCTCTGTCTGTCTGTCTCTCTGTCTGTCTCTCTGTCTGTCTGTCTGTGTCTCTCTCTGTCTGTCTCCCTGTCTCTGTCTGTCTCTGTCTGTGTCTCTCTCTGTCTGTCTTCTGTCTCTCTCTCTGTCTGTCTGTCTCTCCGTCTGTCTGTCTCTCTCTCCCTCTTCCTTCCCCACCCCCACTCCAGTCCACCCATCTCTTCCCTCCTCTTTCCTTCTAGAGCCCGACAGTGGCTGCGGGCAGCGCATCAGTGAGAGCGCAGTGCAAAGCCTGCAGAGCCTCCCAGGCCACCGATGTGCAGCGCAGCATTTAGACAGCACAGCTGGATCCCTTCATGACTTCCTGCTTTCCCCGGAACACCCCGCCAGCCCACGCATGTGTGCTGCCATGTGTCCTCTCCTGGGACCCCGCGCAGAGGTCACTACTGTCCCCAAGCCCCCGAGGTGTCCTTCACAGCGTGGACGCCACTGCTCCCACTCTCACCTCCTGCGGATCCCAGCGAAGGAATCGGTCCTGTCCAGCGGCCATCGCCCGAGCAGGGGCTGGGGAAGATGGAGGCTTGGGGACCCAGGGAAGGACCGGTCCCCTGAGGGCCTGCCTTGCACTCTGCCGCTGGCACAGATGCAAACCCTGAGGCGGACCCTGGGGCCTGAAAGCTCAACAAAGCCAGCCCCCGGCGGAACTCAGAGCTCCCCGAAGGCAGCTCAGCCCCAGCCTCAGGCACCAGGGGAGCCCCTCAAAGCCACCCCAGAAGGCAGGCCAGTGTCTTGTCACTCACTGAGCTCAAATCCCTCTGCTGGGACCTACAAACTGTACGGCCTTGGGCAAATTGCTTTGACTCTCTGGGCCTCTGCATTCTCATCTGTGGGATGGGCATAATAGCAGTATCTACATCAGGGGAATGTTGTGAAGGTCGGATGAAATAAGCCATGTAAAATTCTTCAGTGACAGTAAGTATTCAAGCATATGTGTGGCTGAGTGCCGTGGTGCAGGGAGGCTGAGGCAGGAGGATCATACATTTAAATCCAGCCCGGGTAACTTAGCCATGTAACAAGACCCTGCCTCACAATAAAAAAGAAATAATAAAAATATCTGTCTACTGCCATCCACTGTCCCAAACCTTACACATGCTCATGGAGTCTTCATAACCTTCCTAAGACATGAGCCCGGTGTCGGCCCTGCTTCACAGATAAAGAAACTGAGGCCTGAGAGCACAAGAACCTGGCCTGAGGTCACACAGCTCGAGGTGGCAGGGCTGGGCTGGGACTACAAGCAGCCAGCCCCTGAGGCCCCTGCGCACCCACGTTGGCCCAGTTTTCTGTTCAAGTTCTGGTTTTCCTTCTTTTCTGTGTTTATTGCTTTGTATACGCAGGTGCGCACAGCTGTGCTCTCAGTGGAACACGGCAGGGACCAGCCCGGGCTTTACAAGTTGTGGTCTAGGTCCACCCCTGGGGCGTCCAGAAAATGGGGTCAGGCGGGAGCTTGAGACCAAGGAAGATAGGCCGAAGGTAGGGTCATTCTCTGGGGCTTTTTTTTTTTTTTTTTTTTTTTTTTTTTTTTGGTTTAGTTCAGTTTGGGGCTTTGTTTTTTGAACCCAAGGCCTTCACCCAAAGCTACTCCCCTGGGGCCTCTTTAAATTTCTTTATTTTGAGACACCTGCCTCAGCCTCCCTCAGTTTTAGAATTCCGGGCTATATCCTCATGCCTAGCTCTTGCTTTTTGGTTTTTAAAGACCCTTGATCTATAAAGAGTGTATACTGAGAGTTTCTGGCAGGTAGACGCAGCCAGGAGGGATTCATGAGTTGGATGCAAAATAGTTTCCTTGGATGTCACAGACAAATCCAGGAGGTGTGGGTTAGCTCTGGGGCTGTCCAGGGGGGCAGCCCCTCCCACAGGGCTTCTGAGCCCTTCAAACGAGGCTGGTCCAGACTAAAGGGGGCAGTAAGCCTTATGCATAAAAAAAAAAAGTACTATATAAGCTGAGTACAGCCCTATAATCCTAGCATTTAGGAGGCTGAGGCATGAGGATCGCTGTGAGTTCAAGGCCAGCCTGAACTAGAAAGTGAGACCCTGTCTGAAAAAAAACAAAAAGGAATAGAATTCAAATGACAGCCAGGCATGGTGGCACATGCCACTAATCGCAGCACCAGAGAAGCTGAGGCAGGAGGATTGGTGCGAGTTTGAAACCACCCTGGATTACAAAGTGAGCCTAAGGCCAGCCTGAACTGCATAGTGAGACCCTGTCTCAAAAAGACAAAAAAAAAAAAAAAAAAAAAAATCAGATGACAAGGGACCCACCACAACACCAGCTGAACGTTTTTATCTTTTACTTTGAGACAGAGTCTCACTAGGTTACTAAACTGCCTGGCTGTGCTCAAACTTGCAATCCACCTGCCTCAGCCTCCCAGAGTGCTGGGATCACAGACATACACCACCCGGCTTGGACTTAGTTTAAATCTGAGGGAAGAAGAAAGAAAAGGGTGCTATGATCCACATAAGTGTCTCCCAAAAGCCAGTATGTTAAAGCTTTGCTCCCTACCTATGCTGCTGTGGGATGCAGTGGGCCCTTTAAGAAGCGGGGCCTAGAAGAAGGGCATTAGGGCACTAGAGATGCTCTTGAAGAGGAGGGGGTTGGGATCAGCCCCATCCTGGCTCTGTTTTTGCTTCCTGGCTACTATTAAATGAGCAGCTGCTTCCTCTAGTGTTCCCATACCCCAAAAGCAATTGCGCCAAAGGATCACAGGTAGAAGCCTCCAAACAGAGCCCAAATAAACCTTTCCTTGTGTTAAGTTGATTGCCTCAGGTATTTTGTTACAATAACAGGAAGCTAACACGAATCTATATTTCATCAAGCAAATCACCATAGCAGGCACCTGGGGCTCAGTCCCACAAATGACTCCAGGGACTGTACAGAGCACACCTCAGAGTCCTGCCAGGTGAGAGTTGAGAGTGCTGGATATTTAGCCACCAACTCCCCAGGGGCAGCTGACACCCTGGCATTTCTAATTGCCCTGTGCTTTCTGGGCAAGTCAAGGCAGGCAGCAGGTCCTGGGTTGGAGGGAGGATGAAGAATCAATCCAAGGGACTGTTGCTTGGGGTGGCGCCAGCATAGAGCCGCTGGGCCAGCTGGTACAGAAAGGGTGGGGCACGCTGGTTGCATCCACTGTCCACTGCAGACTCTGCAGCCAGTGTCTGGTCCAAATCCCAGCTCAGCTCCTCCAGGGTCGCACCCCTCATTTCCTGTGGCTCTGCTTCCACATCTGTAACCCGGATAATTATAGCACCGACTTCCGAGAACTGAATGTGAGGATTACACGGAATGATTCACATAAAAGGCTCAGAACAGAGTCAGGCACCGAGTGGCCTTCCATACGCGCAGCTCCGATGATACTGCTAGGAGCAGGTATCACAGCACACATACTCTGATGTTCTTCAAGCACTGAGAAAGCAGCCAGATGTGGCGGTGCATGCTTGTAATCCAGCACTCTGGGAGGCTGAGGCAGGAGGGATCATCTTGAGTTTAAGGCCAGCTTGAGTTCCATAATGAGTTCAAGGCCATTCTGAAAGCTGTCTCAAAAAAGAAAAAAAGATGTTTAGCCATAATTTTTAAAAATGTTTTATCAAAATTAAAAGATGCAAAAAAAATTAAAAGATGCTTTTCTAAGCACAGCACCTAGTGTGCAGTAAATCTTCAGGGTGATCCCTGCGGGTTGGGTTTCCTGTGCAAGCAGGAAGTTGCTGCTGGCTTGGAGCAGCCAGAAGATATAATTCGGTCAGCAGAGCTTATTGCACACCTGCACAGGCTCGGGCTCTGCAATGCGGAGGGAGAGCTCTTAGGAAGACAGATGGACGTGGCCTTGGTCCGAGCTGTGTGCTCTCGACTCTCTGTTCCTTCTGTAAGGGAGTCACGCTTGCGGGCCCTGGCTTTGTGAATTTGCTGGTCCTCTCTAGAGAGTGAGGTAAACTTCCCAGCAAACCTGAGGACAGGAGCAAACACAGCAGGAGGCAGAGGAGGGGCCTGGAGAGCTTGAGCCTATGGTTGAGCCCCCGTGCCCTGAGCTGCTGCCCACTCAGGGACTTGTCCTAGACGGGGAGAGAAAACCACCACCCTGCACTGTGCAGGCAGAATCCTTCTACAGCACGCATCCTCTCTGTTTCCCATCAATAATGTTTACACTGTGCTCCACGCACAGGCCTGCAGAAGGCTGTCTTCGGGGGCCTGCGGAGGAGAGCCAACAGGTCTTGCAAAGAGGAACCATTTCCAGGCTGTCGTCTGCCAAGCCCCGCTCTTCACTGACCCCTGCAAGCCATGAATCGACCAGGCATTGGGACACACGCCTGTCACCCTAGCACTCAGGGCATAGAGGCAGCAGGACCTCTGCAAATTCGAGGTCAGCCTGGGTTCCGTAGTGACTTCAAAGCCTTGCCTCGAAAAGCCAAAATAAATAGACAAATAACAAAGCCACGAATCCGAGACTCCCATGCCTGCTGGCTTATGCAGGAGGCAAGGCTGACCAGAGAGATTGCTGAGCCTCGCCTCCTCGCTGCCTCCTCAACCCTGACCTCATGGGCCCATTCTGCCAGCCTTAGACCTGTGCACGGTCCTGCCAGGCCCATTTGCTAACAGCCAGGCTTTTACATCCTAATGGATGCTTCTTTGTTTTGGCAAGAGACACCAGCCCGGAACTGCCAAGCAATTTGCAGATATAATTTTCTGATGCAACCAAGGACAACAGGGTTAGAACTCGGAAAAAGCAAGCCTTGGAGTCCAGCTGCCTCTCACTGGCCACCCTGCTTCCCTCGGCGCCCACCTGGATTTCCTCGGCAGCCCCTCCCACCCCTGCTTTATCACCCGCAGGGAGGTGGTGAACCCACTTCGGAAGTGGTAAATCCACCTCTGGTGCCCAGCGTGGTCACCTGACTCTGGCCCAGCCACCAGGAAGCCACCACTGGCCACCAACCTTGAGAGGTGGACCCAGGAATTCTGTCCTGCCTGCCCTGAGAGCATCATACCTGACTGTTTCACTGAGCACATACTTTTTACTTAAACTGTGAAATTAAACTTCTGGTTCTTTTTTTTTTTTTTTTTTTTTTTTTTGTCTTTTTGAGACAAGGTCTCGCTATGCAGTTCAGGCTGGCCTTGAGCTCACTTTGTAGCCCAGGCTGGTCTCGAACTCTAACCCTAACAGTCTTCCTGCCTCAGCCTCCCAAGTGCTGGGATTACAGGCGTGACCCACCACGCCCAGCTCGAGACTTCTGGATCTTATAAGTAATAGTCTCAATTTTTTATTTCTCTCATCATACCACCATATAACATCAAATATAGTTTATCTATTTATTTGTTGTTGTATGTGCCCGATTTTCCTCCATTACTATGTAAGGGCAGGATCTTACCTTTTTTTTCCCCTTGCCGGGCATTGGGGAAAGGCATTGTGTTTTGCTCACTGCCCACAACAAGGCTTGTCACATAGCAGGTGCTCACTAGCAAGGCTTGTCACATAGCAGGTGCTTTTTGGATGGAAAAGATGAGGTCCTGCAGAGGTGCCAACATAGACATCGCTTGGCCCTATTTTACAGGTAGGGAAAACTGAGGCTGACATGTTTAATGTGCACAGTGACAGACCTGCTTTATAGGACATCTGACATACACGTGAAAAACATTGGGCTCAGCGCCTGTCCCTGTACAGTGCTGCCCTGAGGTTCCTTTGTCATTCCTGGGACAGCACAGCCACCATAACAATGATTATTTACTAACTCTTGCTGTGGCCCTCAGACCCTGCATGAATTCCTTGACTGAATCCAGTTTCCTGTCCCCCACTAGAGTGAGTCTCCTTACTGTACCAATTTACAGAGCAAGAAACTGAGGTCCAGGGACAGCCCTGCAGCAGACCCAGTGTTGTGGCGAGAGATGCCGATGGCCAGATGCTCGAAAAACAGCCTTTTCCCTGCCACCCCGTTTCCCTTCCTGATGCTCAAAACAGAAGCTGGAAATCCTTAATTTTTGCAACTAGGTCCTTCTTGACTGGCAAGCCTTGACAGGAAGCCCTCTACAAGAGGCTTTGAAATAGTGCCCAACTTAAAAAAAATATATATGAGGTATTTAAAGTGACTTCTTTCTTCTTCAACTAACATTGTTGGGACTGTCTGTGATGTCTGGAGCTGTGGAAGCCATCTTGTGACCACTAGGCAGCCACTATACTAAAAAAACAGAAAAGGGAGGGGAAAGAACCTGAGCTTTTAGCATATAAAAGAGAGTTCACGCTGGTGCAGTGGTGCATGCCTGTAATCTCAGCACATTGGAAGCTGAGGCAGGAGGATTGCAAGTTTAAGCCAAACCTAAACAATTTAGCAAAACTCTGTCTCAAAATTAAAAAGTTAAAGAAAGATCAGGGATGCAGCTCAAAGAGAAGGCCCTAGATTCAATACCTAGTCACATATGTGCACACACATACAAACATACAATACACAAAAGACTTGGGAATTATTTATACCCTCCCCTTTTGATGTGGCAATTATCAATCTAAACATCTATGAGGGAATCTAGTTAAGTAAAACTAATATGAACCCAGAATTGAATGCTATGGAGGTCAGAATCAAGAATCTCTCTGCACTGATATGGAACAATTTCCAGAATATGTTGTTAACGTGGGCATGGTGGCACACAGCTGTAATCTCAGCACTAGGGAAGCTGAAGCAGGAGGATCACTGCGAGTTCAAAGCCAACCTGGGCTGCACAGAGAGTTTAAGGTCAGCCTGAACTGCATAATGAGACCCTGTCTCAAAAAAACGAAACAAAGCAAAAGAAAAGACAGTATGTTGTTAATTGGAAAAAGTAGAAAGTAGAAACTGTACCTACTTGTCAATAAAATAACTCGGAAAGCAGATCCAGGAATGAATGGGGTGCACACAATGCATAGGAGACGATGGTGCAAACTGGAAAGACTTTGCTGGGTTGGCCGAGGCGGGGGCGGGGGGAGGGGGGGTTCCCCGCAAGCGTGCAGCGGGCGCGGAGGGCGCATCACAGCCCTCCATCCAGGGTTGCGGTGGTCGGGCTGCAGGGCAGGGAGCTGCCTGGACCGCCCTCCGGGCGCGGCCCACGCAGCGTCATCACCATCGATATTTCCTGGGAGGAGAGGCCAGGTCAGTGCAGAAGGCAGATGGCCTCTGGGGACCATGGATGTCTGCACCGCCCTGGTGGACCGCTTAATGGTTTTCTGGTTCAGCAAGAAAGCGTCTGGGTCATGGGGGAAGGGCGTCCTGGGATGCTGGTTATTCTTGGTTTTTTTGGAGGGGGGGGTCCTTGTCCCTTTCCTATTTCTTCCTTTTTTGAAACCATGTCAAATAAATCATCTCAGGCATAAAAATGATAGATAATTTCCAAGCTGGAAGTAGCCCTAATGCCTGCCTGCCAGGAGATGAATGGGGACCCATTTTTCTCTTTTCTTACATATCGGGAACTGAACCCAGGGCCTTTGCACTGAGCTACATCCCCAGGCCTACTTTTTATTTTGAGGCAGGGTGAACAGCCCTGTTGCCCAAATTGGGTTCAAATTTGCAGTCCTGCTGCCTCGGCCTCTTAAGCACTAGGATTACGCTGTGCACCTCCCTGCCTGGCTTCTCTCCAGCAATTTTGCTTCCCCTTTTACATCTCTGTATATTTGCACCCGATTCAGATGTAAAATGGCTTTCCGTCAGCACGTCATGACCCCGCCATCACGCCTGGAAAAGTGTGCCCTAAATACATGGCCTTGCTTTCCCATTTTACTTCTACCCAAACAGCGCCCAGCAGCGCGGGCCCTCCCAGCTGTTCACGCCCGCCTGACATCAGCTCCACGTCCTCAGGGGCCGCGGGAGCATTTCTGCCGCTCAGAAACGCCACGAGCTATTTTTCATTCCTCTCATGATTGGATTTTTTCCTTTGCCAAATAGAACATTTAAAAAATAGCTATCTGTCATTATTACCACCAAGTCATACTCAGAAGGATACTTTAATATAAATAAGGTCAGGAACCCCTACTTTCTGTACCAAAGACAGACTTAAATTGAATACTTCTAAATTTATTTATTATTTTATTTATTGGTACTGGGGTTTGATTCTAGGACCTTCACACTGAGTTACATCCTCAGTCCCTTTTTATTATTTTGAGAGGGGTCTTGCTAAATTGCTAAATTGTGCATATTGGGCTCAAACTTGTGATCCTCTTGCCTCAGTTTCCAAGTGCTGGGATTATAGGCACTGTGCATTCCAGCCAGATATGGTGTCAACTGTCTCTAATTCCAGCACTTGGGTGGCTGAGGCAGGAGGATCACCTCGAATTTGTAGTGATCCTCCTTCCTCAGCCTCCCGAGTGCAAGGATCATAGGAGTGTGCCACCACACCCAGCTACAATGACAGGTTTGTTTAATGTGATTGGAACACTAATAGTGCATACATGCATCAAAATATCACATGGCTGGCACCCAATAATGTGTATAATTTTTATGGGGTTTTTTTTTTTTTGTCTTTTTCCTTTTTATCGGTACCAGGGATTGAACTCATCACTGCCTGCTTGCAAGGCAGGCGCTTATGCCGCTGAGCTAAATCCCCAGCCCCAATTTTTATGTTTTTAACATAATTTTGTGTGTGTGCTTGGGCTTGAACCCAACACCTTTTTAGTGCAATATTCCTGCCTCAGCCTCCTGAGTAGCTGGGATTACAGGCATATGGCACCACATGGGAGTGATTTTTGTTTTAGGTGCATGTTGATTTTGTAAAATACTGAGTTTCAATGAAGTATTTTCAAACAATCTTGTTTTTATTATCAGAAAATTGTTTTAAACATACTCTCCATTACAAAAAAGCCACTGCCTGTAACACCACAGGACCCTGAAAGAAAAGCGTTTACTTGATCACAGAGCTGGGACCCACAGTCCCCGTTTCCTACCCACAAAACCGCTGGACACCTGAGGTGCTCCACCTCGCTGGCAAACCCTCACCCTTCTCTTCTTTAGGTCATTTCACAATAATGCCAAAGCTTAATAAGCTGGGAAGAAGTGGGGGTCTCCCCACCTTCAGGGACAGACATCCAGATCGTCGGTCTGGGGACAGAGGCATCCACAGAAGTTTGTCTGACTTCAGCCACATTTTGCAGGCATCTGAGTTCATAACCAGCTTTTATTATTTATTTGTCTTTTGAGACAGGGTTCACTATGCAGTTCAGGCTGGCCTTGAGCTCACTTTGTAGCCCAGGCTGGTCTGGAACCCTCAGTGATCCTCCTGCCTCAGCCTCCAGAGTGCTGGGATTACAGGCGTGTGCCACCACTCCCAGGCATGACCAACTTTTAAAAATAGAACATTTCATGTAAAAATCCCTATGTCCTTCTATGAAGCCGTCACCTTTCTAGCCAAATGCTCAGGTCTGCTGACCTAGGCAAAGCTGAGCTTTGATAAGGGCAGAAATAGGGAGGGACCTGCCTCTCCCTCCACCCAGTGCTTATTGGTTCCTGGGGGTGGGTCCCACTCACCCTGTGAGCTCTGCCATAACTCCACTGTCAATGTTCTCCGGACTGGACTCAAGGGGAGCGGCCCTGAGGAGTGTCCCTGTGTCCCAACTCAGTCTGAAGTCCTCCACCAACCCTTAGGATGTGGACAGAGGTAAACAGCCCTGCCCTGTCCTCTTACTGTGGGTGGAGACACATGGAGCTCATCCTATCTCAGGCCACAGGTGACCAGGCCTGCAGTGGGCGCCAGGGTTTATGGAAGCGGCTGGACCGCACTGTGGACGTTTCCTCCTAAGGACAATCACAGCGGTGCACTCAGGCTGCTTTTAGTCCCCAGCACTGCTTCTGTAACTTTCATGCTGTGAGACCTTCAGTAAACAACCTAAACCAGGCATGGTAGCACATGCCTGTACTCCCAGCAATCTGGGAGGCTAAGGCAGGAGTACCCCAAATTCATTCCAGCACAGCTGGCGACTCAGTGACTGTAGCAAGATTCTGTCTGTAAAAAATTTTTTTAAAGCTGGGAATGTAACTGAGTATCATGTACTAAGAAAGAGTACAATGTTCAGGTTTTTCTCTATTGTACTTATCATAAGCCGATAATTTTATTTGTACCTCTGTTTATTGTCTGCCTAGCTTACTAAATAACTCTCCATGACAGAAAGACTGTCTGTCTTGTTCTGCTCCACTCCCCGGCCTGGAACAATGCCCCCAGAGTAAGCAGGGGCTCCATAAACACTTGTCTGCTCCGTGAACTGCTCTTTCCCATTCCCGGTCCAAATGCCTTTGCAATGATGTGGCCTGCACTGGAGCAGCCCAAGGTCTCATGGACTCCGGCAAGAGCCACACCGATCTCCACAGGCAGACGTTCACAGCAGCATCGGGCATTGATCCGTCTTCCCATGACATCAACTGGGCTCAGAGCCCTGGGTGCTAAAAGACACTGGGTGTGACTTCTGGTGGGTGAATCGGCAGCACGGGAGAGAGAGCTGGCGACTGAGCAAAGTGGAACAAGCGATTGAGCTAAGAAGGGAGAATCCTGAACGTTAAAGGTCGGGTGCCAGCGCACGTGGGCCTCACCCCACGCCACCCGAGACACAAAGCTTCCAAAAACAGACACCCAGGTGAAGCAGGCGCCTTCCTAGCACGCGAGGGAAGGAACGCTGCCGTGTGCCTTGAGAAACAATGATACCACTGGGAAGGGCTCTGCAAACTGTAAAGCGCTGCCCAAAGAAAGAGAATAGGTGAGGCAGATTCCTCTGCAGAACTTGGGCTGCACTTCTAACCCCAACTTACCGCAACGCTCGCAGCGGAGAGGCGGCAGCTTGGCCCCAAGGGTTCCCCAGAAAGGTCGCCCTTGGACGGCTGGGCAGCCAGAGGGGGCCTGAGAGCCCAGGCCAGGCGCGCGAACCCCTCGAAGCTTCATTTTTGCTGCACTGCTCGGGCTGGTGCCGCTCCGATGATTGATTATATAACTTCCCGGGTTCAAGGAAGACAACCAGAAGACAGAGTTTTTTTTTTTTTTTTTAAGGAACTCCCTCCACACACACGCTAAAGTCACAGAAGTGCACAAAAATAATTTGCAAATCTCATATTCTTACCATTCACCATGAATTAATCGCGAGCAATGTAGCTTATCTGGGGGAGGTTTTGTGTTGCCAATTAAATTTTCTTCCCGCAAGTCCCGATATCTGAACCCACAATAAGTCAACCTATTACTTTTTATTATTCTCCATCTCCATCCCCGTTTATCTAAAGGGATGAATTCCATCAACTCCGAAATCCCTTGGTGGCCTCGCCCAAGGACAGGTCTGCAAACTTGGAGCTCCAGTGAAAAGATCCCACGAAGGTCGCAAGCCTTAGGGTGCGGAGCCGCAACCTCCTCCCCCACTCCAAACTGCCGCGTGCAACTTTGTAACTCCTGCTCCGGCCGGGAGCTTATTTGTTCGGTCGTTTGGCGGAAGGATTCCGTGCGCGCGGACGCTAGGACGCTCAACTGTCTATTCTCCCCGCCCCCGTCCTGGCCCCGCCCCTCCTGCTCCCTGATCCCGCCCCCTCTGCAGCCCCGGCCCCGCCTCTCCCTCGCGCCCTATGGCCCATAAAGAAGTCCCGGCCGGGCCGCTGCACTCCCCCGCGCGCATCCGTGCGCCGCCCGAGGCTGGCTGAGGACTCGGCGGCCATTTTGTTCTTCTCGTGGTTCCAGTAGGGGAGAGAAGGAGGAAGAGCAAGGAGCGGGGCGGTTAGGGGGGGACCCGCCGCGGCTGCTGCCACCGCCGCCGCCACCACTCGTCTCGGTGCTCGTGGCGTGGGAGAGGGGGGTGTGAGTCCCGAGCGCAAGCCAGCGGCGGCGCCGCTGCGGGAGGGTCGGCGGTGGGGAGGCGATGGCGGATATAGATAAACTCAACATCGACAGCATTATCCAACGGCTGCTGGAAGGTGAGAGGGACGGGAAGGGGCGGCCCCGGGGGCGCGAGGCGGGGAGTTGGAGCCCGTCGGGCCGCGGCAGGGAGCCCCGGAGTGGCTCGCTGTGGCCGGCGCCGGGGGAGGCCGTGGGGTCCCGAACTTGGCGCCGCCCGCTGCTCATTCATTGCGCCGGAGTGCAGCCTCGCTCCTTCCCGGCCAAGAAATTTGAAATTTCCCCGCTCCCCATCCCAACGTTTCCCGCCCGCTCCCCGCGATCCTCGGCAGTCTTTGGGGCTGGCGGGGGTGTTCCCCGCCGGACCCCGCGGACCTCACTTTTTTCTGTGAGCTCGAGTTTCCGGTCCTCGTCCTGTCGCCAAGCAGTTAGCCGGGGGAGGGATGTATGGGCTCTGCCGGGCTGGGGGGTTCTTTTTCCTGTCTTGGATGATGCTTTTCTTTTTATTATTTTGTGGTGCTGAAGTCAGGAGCCCGTTTCTAGTCCTTGGCGACAGACATGCACATCTCAAAAAACGGCTCCCCAGTACCACCGCCAAAGCCTTTTTTTAAGTTGTCCTCATCTTGGAGCGGTCTCCGCACTCTTTGCTGAGACCGGAATCCAGCGATGGAGACAGTATCATCGTCTTCCCAGTGCCAGGCTCTGCGGGAAGCGCTTGGCGTTCACATTGTTGCTGTGATAGTAGCTAATGCTTCCGCAGCGCAGATTGTGCGAGTTCTTTTGAGCTTTTCGTTGAGTTCTCACTAATCTTTTGAGGTAGGTACTGTTATTTTTAACTGTTCTGGAGAAGAAACTAAGACACAGAAGTCACTGGACCAAGGTCGCACAGTGTGTGATAGTCAAGTTTCACACCCAGGTAGCCAGAACTTAGAACTTGCAACAGCAATACGCCATTACGGAATGTACGAAAGAATTCAGGTGGCCAATGGCCAAAGAAAGGTTAAAGCACAGTTTTAGTTTGGACGGTATAATGAGAGGGCCGAGGAGAGGGAGAGGGCCGAGGTTGAGATTTTAAAGCGGGAGGCTGAAACGCTCTGCTCTTACGTGCAAGAGCCTGTTAGGTTAGCATCTTTGTTTAAGATTTTGGAAGAATTCACTGAAATCTAATTCTTGATCTGAGCACTTGATAATGAAAATGGGTAAGTTTTATCAGTTTTTGCCAATACCCTGTCCACCTACAATATTTTGGGGGTATAAATGCTGTGAGTAGAATTGAGAACATGAACAGTTGCAGCATTCTGGTGGTAGAGCTTTTGAAGTAAAGCATTAAAGTAAAACACTGTCTTTTTCCTAATCTCTGCATATTTTCCTTTCATATTTTAAGAAGGAACCCACTAAATATCTTTAAGGACTTTAGAAATACTCTTTAAATGTTGCTTCCATTTATAGGTGAAAACTTTGTCATTCAATTCCTATATTTATATGAGGTCAGAAACCGATAAAGATAATTTACTGTAACAAAATAACTTTTTTTTTCCTCCTGCCAAGACAGTCTGTAGCTCAGACTGGCTTTCAATTCTGCTTAATTCTTGTGCCTCAGCCTCCCAAGTGCTGGAATTACAGGCATGTACCACCACGCATGATTTAAGAAAAGTAACTGTTAAGCATTTCCATTTCAGTTTGGAAGTTCTGCACATATGTGCAGGGGTATAGTGGACTCCTGCTGGAGGGCCTTGTTTCTTTATGAAAAAAGGAGGATTGTGGTTATGGGTTTGAGCCGTCAGAACTTTAAGGTTTTCTGTCTGATTGACACAAAAACTGTTGAAAAATTTTACCGGTAAAATTTTACTGGTAAATTTGGCTCATTTGTTTTTTCCGTGTGTTGTGTACTGGGGATTGAGCACAGGCGTTGTGCGGGCTTAGCAAATGTTCTGCTACCAAGCTACATCCCCAGCTTTATTTTTTGTTTTGTGTGTTTGTTCCTTTTGTTTGTCTAGTCTTTTGGAGAGATGGTTCCACTTTTGTAACCCAGGCTGGCCTGGAACTGCAAGTGATCCTCCTGCCTCCACCTCTCCCAAGTGGTGGGATTAAAGGCCTGTGTCAGGCCATGCTTGGCTCCCAGTTTTGTTTTTTGTTTTGTCTTTTTTTGTGATACTGGAGAATGAACTCACCTTGCCGGGGAGTCGCCTATTGCTGCTGAGCTAAATCCCTAGAGCCATTTTTAAATTTTATTTTGAAACAGGTCTCAAGAGTTACCCAGGCTTGTCTCAACTTGCAGTCCTCCTGCCTCAGCCTCCAGAGTTGTGTCACTTCCCCTGGCCACATTGATCATTCATTAATATTTCCAGTTTACATGTTATATTGCACTTGTAAAGCAGATTTTTTTAATATTTCCTTTTTAAAATTAATATGAAATGCGCTTAAATGCTGTGGGTATAGGCTAGCTACGTAATAAAGGTACTTTTTTGTAAATGTTAAATTGGCAAAACATCTGTTTAAGATGATTTGAGTATACATGTAGTGAGTGGGGTGTTGATAATAAATTTTCTGCGTTTTGTAATGTCCCTCCCCCCCCCCCAATCTTTTTCTTGAAGTATTTTACATTGCTTTATCTTTCTGAGACAGAGTCTCACTATGCAGTTCAGGCTGGCCGTGAGCTCACTCTATAGTCCAGGCTGATCTTGAACTCAACAACCATCTTCTTAGTCCTGAGTGCGGGGATTACAGGTGTGTGCCACCACACCTAACTTTCTTTCTTTTTTTTTTTTTTTTTTAACATAGGAAATTTTATCTTTTAAGCTTGTGGGTTGTGTGAGTTGAGAAATGGCTTAGTAGTAAGTACACAATGAAACTTGGGAGATTTAGAACATAAACTAGTCATTGAATAGTTTGGTACTCTTGAATGTGTTGGGGAAAAGGGAGACTTGGACAGAGTTTGTTTTGTAAATCTCTCAAGGAGTGATGGCTAGAGATTTTGTTACATAGCAAGTGGTTGTAATGTATTTTATGTACTGGTTTGCAAGAAGCATCTTAGTGCTGAAGAATGGTGCTGTCAAACTGCAAGACTGCATAATTACCTGATCTTCAAGAATGACTTAACTGTCCTGTGCAAAATCCTTTACATAAGAAAGCTTTTAATGTCAGTTTTCAGGTACTTTGAAACTGTTTAGCTTTTTAGAACCCATTTCTATCTTAATGTCAACAGTGGCATCCTAGTTGTATGTTTCTGATCCCCTGACTGGACACCTCTGTTGTGAGTTCCTACCTTCCAGCATATTCATTACAAGCCTGCAGTGCCACCTACAAGGCAGAAGACAGGGCAGGTGCAGGCCAGAGTGGTACACATCTCAGCACTCCAGAGGCTGAGGCAGAAGAATCACCACAAGTTGGAGGCTAGCCAGCACTGCACAGCAAAACCCAATCAAAAAAAAAAAAAAAGGAAAGCTTTCTTGCAGACAGTGATTGGGAGAACTTCTTTTTTAAGCCAAACCATGAAAAAGACTGCTCCTTGTACCGACAGTACTCTTTTCCTTATCAATAGACAGTAACAGTGAAACCTTCACAGGGTTAGATATATCTTTCTGTTGTGTTTGGGGAGATTTATGTTGCCCTGGAACCTGGGGTGGCCTGGCAATGGGAATTAGAGGTGGCCTGGGCCAGCCATTAGCCTAGCAGTCGTCAGTGGTACAAGTTGATGAAGTTGCAGTATATATGTCTTTGAAACTACAGTTCTTCTGGGAGCTCGACAGTTGTACACAGTCAAGTGCTGGTCAGTCCACTCTACTCAGCAAGAATTAAGAGATCCTCCTTACAGCTGGAATTTTAGAACAAATTTTTATGATTTTAGTGTTGAATTTATGTATCTAAAACATGGAAGAGTAGATTTATTTGTAGGTCTTGATTTATCTAAAATGTGCAGTTTTCTCCATTAAGTAGTCTACTCATTGCTTGTCCAGAAAAGAGTGAGATCACAGGATATGAAGACTTATGCAGGGTCAGCTGTGTGGTGTACTCCATGATATTTATCAAAATGTGATTTTAGACTCTAGAAATTTAAACATTTTCCATTCGGCTGTCTTCATCAGAAGTGCAGAAGACTAAGATACTTCATGGATAGCAGTGAATAGTGTTGGTTGCAGCTACCTCCCTTGAGAGAATTGGTGTAGCCCAAAGTGTATAACACCAGCAGTTATAGCAAGGTTGGGGAGGGCACGGGGTAGAAACAGCTATGATGAACAGAAGTGCAAGTCTTCACGGTGACTCTACAAAGTCCCAGAGGAATTTTTATAACATTTTTGTGGTTTTTATTTTTTGTAGAAAATAACTTTGTGTGTGAAAGTTTAATGTCAGAAATACTGTGTTTTTTCTTAGTGGGCGGTCTTTCTAAATCTTGGATGTGAGCATAGTGCTTCACTATCATAAACATGGCATGGCTTAAGATTACTTTAATAGGATTATCTTAAAACAGCAATACCTTGGTTTATTTTTATACAAGTTGTGTCCATCTTAGATTTTTAAAACTATTTCATTTCTCTAGGGTTTTTCTGTATGAATGCTGTTCCTCCAAAATGATCTTTTAACAAGTAAGGTCTTTTACATGACCAGAATGGTGATTTATTTGTCATAATCTCAGAGAGTA